CGGCTCGGCTCGGCTCGGCTCGGCCCGGCTCGGCCCGGCTCGGCCCGGCTCGGCTCGGTGCTGCTCTGCTCGGCTCGGTGCTGCTCTGCCCGGGCCCCGCCTCGGCGCTGGGGGAGGGCGGGCGGCTGCGCGGCTGCGGGCGGCGGGACGGGCGGAGGGAGCGGCAGGGGGGAGCCGGGGCTGCTGGTGGTCGGAGAGGCTGTAACGGGCTTCGTTATTGCGACTCTTCGTGTTTGTATTCTGTCCGTTTTCGTTATTGTTGCGTTCGTTGTTATTTTTGTTGTTTTTTGTCGTGATTGTTTTTAATTATTTCTTTCAAACGATGATCGTTACCGCCTCCATGATCCTCCTGTCCCCCTCTTTATGCACCCTGATACGGGAAGCAGCCGGCCAGCACGCTGCTGCTGCCTCTGCACGCAGTGCCCTGAAGGATGAGCGCCAGGGCTGAAATCCACCCCAAAACCGGGAGCAGGCATTGCTCTGTGGGCACAGCATCACTTTCCTTCCTCCTCCAGCTATCAGAGTAGAGAGATAACGCACAGAAAACCCTTCAAGTCTGTAATCGTCCCCTGTATTCCACGTAGAAATTTTAGGTGGCTCGTTTTACTTCCCAGTCCAAAGCGTGCTCAGATAATCCTTGCTATTTTTGAAATAGAGGAAGGAGGGTGAGACGATTTTTAACTCCTTAAGTGCTCTTTAGAAATAAAACCCTATCGGTCCCGAAGTGCCATCACATGCACAGATGTGAGTCCTCACCTGGTGGAGGAAATGAGATTTGGAAGTGGGAAAAGGCTGACGGAGTGCAAACGCTGCCTCACACAATTGGCACAAAGGTGTAACCTGGTGAGTCAGGAGAACTGCCTGGGTTGGAAAAGACCTTAAAGATCACAGAGTTCCAAACCTCCTGATGCTGTGCTGCCTTCTGTGACCAAAAGTGACCCAGTGCACGGCCCCAGTATGTGCTGCCGGGCTGGGACGACAGAGCTCTCTTTGCAGAGAATGAGACTGGAAGTGTTTGCAGGCTGTGCCACAGCTTGCATGATGATGACTTGTGGTCCTGACAGCATCGAGCATGGCAGGAGAGGCTGCGATGAGGCTGCAGAATGGACCTGGTTTCTCCCTTTGTGGCTGTTTGTGCATTGAGGAGCACGGCTTTTGTTGGGAATGCGAACACCCTGCAAGGCAGAGGGGATGGCGGAGGTAACGGAGAACTCCACTTACACTCACCATGAACTCTTCGTGTTGGGCACAGCTCGGGCTGCGTGAGGCTGATCCCCATTGACTGAACACCCCGACCCCTCTCCTCAGGGCTCCTTTTGGTGACTGCCCGCAGCACGGCCGGGCCACACAGCCATGCATAATACACGCTGCAGCCTACGCACAGCTCCGGTTGCATGGCTCTCCATTAATTCTTTATTGGGCTGATACCGGATCCCATTCAGGACAATGGGGCGCAGCAGACGGGCTGCGGATTGGCATGAGCCATCTGTAACTGTGCTCGCGGTGCCATCGCTCGTGCCAATGGGACCCCAGGCCGCAGGGGGAGCTCGGGGGATTTCGAGGCGTCTTGCTGAGGGCACGGTGGGGGGCGGCTCAGTGGGACGACACACCTGTGTGCGCCCTGTTGGGGATGGACTTGTAAAGCTGCTGGCAACTTTAAGCCACGCGTGACTTCAACCCAAACGCAGCACCAAGGGGCCAACCCCAAGGCCGGGCTGCCCTCGCCGAGCGGGCTGAGGGAGGCCCCGCGACGGGCAGCGGCGCTGGAGTCAGGGGGAACGATGGAGTCCGTAACGCGGAACGTCTGTGCGCGGCTCCCTGTTTCCGGGTGGACAACGAGGGAGATCGCGCGGCGCTCACTTCCGGTTTCACTTCCGGAATCGGGGGCGGAGCGGCCGCGAGAGCCCCGTGCCCGGCGCGCGCCCCGTCGGGCCCTTCCGGCGACCCGTAGCGGCGGTCCGCTCCCCCGGCGCCCCCTCCCACCCCACCCCGCGCCGCCTCGGGCTGCGGGTTCGCGTCCCGGCCGGGGGCGGCGGCGCCGGGATGGGTCGTGGGTGAGGAGGAGGAAGAGGAGGAGGAGGAGGTGGGCGCTGGGGCTGCCCCGCCTCGCCGCCGGGCCCGGGGGGCGGCTGGCCCCGAGAGGGCCGCATGTGCCCCCCGCCGGGCCCCGAGGCAGGACGGAGCGGGAGGCGGAGGGAGAAGCGGCCCCGGCGGCCGCGGGCAGGCCCGAGCAGGGCCGGCCGGGCCGGCGGGGCCGCAGCCGAGAGGAGGAGGAGGCGGCGATGGAGGGGCTGGCGGGGTACGTGTACAAAGCGGCGAGCGAGGGGCGAGTGCTGACCTTGGCCGCGCTGCTCCTCAACCGCTCCGAGAGCGACATCAAGTACCTGCTGGGATACGTCAGCCAGCACGGCGGGCAGCGCTCCACCCCGCTCATCATCGCCGCCCGCAACGGCCACACCAAGGTGGTCCGCCTGCTCCTCGAGCACTACCGCGTGCAGACCCAGCAGACCGGCACCGTGCGCTTTGATGGGTACGTAGGGCCGGCCGCCCGATGCCCGGGGCCTGGTATCGGGCATGGGGTTGGTGTTTGGATGGGGCCTGAGCTGCTGCTGGTCACGGTGTATCTGAGCCCTGCCTTGGGCCCGGTGGTGGTTTGGCTGGAGCCTGGTTATGGTGTGTGCACGGCCTGTCCTGGCTTTGTCATAAGGTGTCTTGTGGTTCTCTTGGAGCATTTTTGGGCCACAAAAGTGACCCGGGGGATGGGACGCCTCCCCTAAGAGAGAGCTGGGGCTGCTCAGTTTGGGGAAAAGAAGGCTCTGGGGGGAGCTGAGAGAGGCCTTTCAGCATCTGAGAAGGAAGGATGCAGTCTCTTCAGTGTAGTCTCTGTGATAGGATAAAGGAAATGGTCTCAAACTAGGAGAGAAGAGATTTTGGCTGGGTGTAAGGAAGAAAAATTGTTACGATAAGACTAGAGAGGCACTGGCGCAGGCTGCCCTGAGAGGCGGTGGATGTCCCCTCCTTAGAGACACCTGAGGTCAGGCTGGAGGGGCTCTGGGCACTGATAGAGCTTAGGGTGTCTCTGCTCATTGCAGAGGAGTGGCAGCAGATGGCCTTCAAAGATTCCTTCCAACTCAGACAGTTCTATGATTCTGTGTTGATAGTCTGTCCTGGACATGTTACGTTGTGCCCAGGGCCAGCACCAGGCTGTGGCTGCCTGCTTGGCATTGCTCAGCTGGTGGCTGGGCTGTTGGGGTTGGCATGGCACTGCTGTCCCAGCCACCTGATGCGCCTTCACCACTTCAAGCTGAGATTGCAGGCAGGGTTTTATTAGCCTGGTGGGCAGGTGACCCCATATGCATTCTGCACCAAAGCAGCTTTTCTGTGACATCAAGCATTCTGTGATAGGCTGCAAGTAGGATGAGAGTGGGGTGGTGCCACCTGCTTGTTCCAGGTGAGGCTTTTTCCATTCCAGCTGGGATAAGAAGCAGCTTCCTCACAGCTGGGGGCTGGCACGGGGTAGTAGGGAGGAAAATGCGATGGTTTAGGACGGGCTGTGCTGAGGAACAAGGGCATTGCCCAGGAGCTGGGGTTCATGGTGCTGTGTGGCAGCAGGATGAATGCTTGTGGTTTGCTCCTCGTCTGGGGGGCATGGCTGGCTGCAGAAAGCCTGTTTCTAAATAGATTTTAGACTCTTAACAGCAGTGTTCTCTTCACAGCAAATGAGCAGCACATCCGTTCTGTTGGGTGTTGAAGTGGTTCTGCCTGTCCTCGTGTTCAACCTGCAGGCCATTGTGCTCCCACGTTCCTTTGCTTTGTTGTCACAAGCTTCATTACCTCTCTTGTTTTTAAAGTCTTTCACAACTCTTGTCAAATAGTTGCCCATATGTCATTCTTAAAGCCAGGAATCGTGAAGGACCTTTTACCCTTTGAACAGCTCCAGGTTAAGCAGGTAGCTGGCTGTGTGCTGGCACAGGAAGGAGAGCTCCCATCAGATACTGAGAGGGATCGTCACCGTCCCCCTGTATCTCTCATCTGGCTCCTGCCTGATGAGCTGCAGAGATGTCTGTGCAGCTCCACCTAACCCAGGGGAAGGCTGACTTGCTTCTTGAATGCTGAATGAAGGGGGAGGAATTGGCTTCCCTGTGTGTGTGCTTTTTTATTCCTCTTTCAGCCCTCTTTTCACAAGTAAAAACTGGTTGAGAATACCTGCTGGCGTGTCTGTCCTTATTTTAGATAAAAGAAGGGCCTGTGTTGACAGAAAGTGATAGAAGGGCTGTTGTCTCCCCTGTGCTGCTGGATTTTCTCTCGTGCTGTGCATTGATGGGATGCTGATCTGCCTGCCAGAGCCTCTGCCTGATGCAGATTAAAGGAGGTGTTGTTTGACTTACAATGGGCACAGTGTGCCATCACCTCTCCCCTGGCCTCAGTAGGAGTCGCAGCCTGGTGAGAAGAAAGGCAGCATGTGATCCCAGATCATGCTTGGCATTATTTTCATTTTTGTGATAAGGTGGCTCAGAAACCCCCCTTGTTTGTGCTCCAAGCTTTTGACTCGTAAATATGGGCCTGTAGTGCATTAGTAAATTACCTTGTGTTCACTCACAGGGCCTACATCCTGATTTACTTCTGTTTTAATAGAAAAGTACTTTGATGTGGTTATGTATGTGCAAAGTAAGGAACTTCTTACTGGGAACAAAGGTAGCCACATCTGTTATATAGACATCTCTGCGTGCCAGGGCTCTTAAGTGGCCTCTGAAGTGTTTTCTGGAGATGCTGGATTTACAAACAGGCAACCAGCTGCTTCTGCAGAGCTTTGTAGAATGATGAAAATTGCTGCTGAAGCTGAAAGTGAGCCGGTGTCTCCTGATATTTTCATTTTGAAAAACGTGACTGCGTGGACGTATGGAAATAATCAGATATTTCTCCCTGCACTGTGATCCGGGCTGTGCCTGCAATGTATATCGCCTGCAGGGCGAACTGTGCTTAAGTGCTGCTTCAGAGATGGAGGGGAATGGAAAGGACATCAGCCCTTGTGTTTGTAGTTGCAGAAGGTGCTGAAGATTTGGGGATGAAAATGGCTTCAGGAGCGGTGAGGCTTGGCTGGAGTTAACTGTCCCCACGTTTACGAGTGCCAGCAAGCTGTCTGCAGGGCTGTAATGCAGAGCAGAGCTCTGAAGCACTCCGGCTTAGAATAGCTTCCTCTTTAAAATGTTATTATATTCCTCAAAGTCTGTTGTTGTTTTTTTTTTTTAAATCTGATTGCTGGTCTGCTGTGCGTTGTGGTGTCAAGGAATGGGCACAGCAGAAGGGGTGACAGAGAGCACCCCTGTTCTCGGCCAGGGGCA